ATATACGTATATATATATATATATATATATATATATATATATATATACGTATATATATATATATATATATATATATATATATATATATATATATATACGCATATATATATATACGTATATGTATATACGTATATGTATATACGTATATATATACATATATATACGTATATATATACGCATATATATACGTATATATATACGCATATATATACGTATACATATATGTATATATAGCTAGACTGATTATATATGGATTATATACGTATTATGTATACATACACATATATACATTTATATATACATATATGTACATATATATACATATATTTTTGCGCGTGCGCGCGTGTGCGTGTGTGTGTGTACATGTGCATGTGTGTACGGGTGCATGTGTGTGTATATGTGCATGTGTGTGTGTACATGTGCATGTGTGTGTGTGTGTTCATGTGCATGTGTGTGTGTGTACATGTGCGTGGGTGTACATGTGAATGTGCGTGTGTGTACATGTGCATGTGCGTGTACATGTGCATATATGTGTGTGTACATGTGTGTGTGTACATGTGTGTGTGTACATGTGCGTGTGTGTACATGTGCATGTGCGTATGTGTACATGTGCATGTGCGTGTGTGTACATATGGATGTGCGTGTGTGTACATGTGTATATGTGTGTGTGTACATGTGCCTGTGTGTACATGTGCATGTGTGTGTGCGCAGGTGTGTGCATGTGCATGTACATGTGCGTTTGTGCGTGTGTCTATGTCTGCGTGTGGGTGTAGGGTAGGATTAATTTGAGTATTTGTGTGCTAGTGCTTACATGTGAGTATGTGTGTGTTTGTATGAACATTCAAACACCAAAATAGAGACACACCTCACAGAGATACCCAGAGATCCATGTATGTAAGCACATGAATTCATGCATGCATACGCACATAAACACAAACACACACTCATATAATCATGCATACACATACACTTGGACACACACATACATACGCATGAATGCACTCACACATGAATACACAGAAAAAAAGGATAAATTATCTAGCCAGTGATAACAGTTCAGTTTTATCTATGATTTTCATGCTCCTTATTGAATGGTTGGAAATTAAAATATTCATTAAATGTTCTCTCTTCTAATATTCAAGACTTATCAGTGTGTTACCCAAACTCATAAGCCAATCTAAGAGTTATGGCAGAAAGTCTATTAGTTTACATCCATATCACACAGTTACTTTATCGCTTGATTATATTGAGCCATGCTAAAAAATATATTTTAGAAAACCTCCAGGTAGGTATGTTGTTCTTTACTGTACAAAGTCTTCCTTTGAAATATTCTTTGCCATTAAAACCATTTGGGTGTGGTGCAGGGGGTGGGGGGTGGGATTGGGTGTTACAGGAAATGGGAGACTCCAGGCTGCTCCCAACACCACAACAGGGACTTGATGTATATGGAAGTCACCCTACTTGTCCCCTCCGGAGCACAGGGAAGACGTTTGGAATGGGCACAATCATTTGCTAAAACTGTTTTCTTTTTACAGATTTTGCAAAAATCACATTTGGAATATCTAACCTTATTCAATAGCCCTGGGAGAAATGGCTGAACAGTTGTGTCAGACAGCCTGTGAATACAGCACTAAGGATGCCCAAATGCCCGTAAGTGTCAAAAACACTACCACCATCAAAACTAATAGATCAGCTACAACTACAGATACTGCTCTGGTGCCCAAAAACATTACATTTTTCTTTTGTTGTTCCTTTTACTCCTATTCATCTTTACATACAAGGATGGTATAGAACCAGATGGTGGCAAGGGAGTGGGTCAGGATCTCTTGATTTAACACCTGCACTTGCAATCTCTGACATAACTGCTCAGGATTAGGTCTATTGTTTACACTTAAAACTAAGGCTTGCCTTATACTACAGATTTTCCCTACAGTTTCTTAATCTATATTCGTTTGCACAAAATTCACAGTGAAGAAAGTGTAATAAAGAAACAAAAGGAAAAAAAACTTCACAAAACACAACGCCACAGATTTGAATAACACATCTTTTTTGTATTTTCTGAACTTTGGAATTACTTAACTCTAGTTGAGGTGTTGTGGCCACAAGCTGACACCAAAGCCATCATGACATGGTGTCACCATCTGTGGCTGCTACACCATCTTCAGGGCCTAAACTAAGCAAGTGAGTCATTCTCTCACATTTTTGAGACTTGGTTGGAAATGACAGTAACATGAACTCTGCCATTTCACCTTAAGATGGCCTCAAGAGTTGTGGTACATGGCATAACAAACATGCTACTACATCCACACCATTCACCTTTGGCCATAAACAGTGCTGCCATGCCATCACCAATACATGGTTGGGCTGCACATCCTGGCTTGGCTTCTTGTCTCTTCACTCTGAATACACTTGAGTCCTGATGAAAGTTGATTCTTCAACCAACACAGGAAGAAGACACTATTTACAATATCTTTCTAGTTGCATTACTGGTTGACACAAAAAAAATCTAGTAGTCATTTCAAATGTACATATTTTTCAATACATATTGTTTATGTACACAGTGGTGTGTCAGGTATGTCCTTATTAAAATAAGCCTTGTTATCAAAATAAACCTATATTCTTTCAACAGTCTCAATAGGTTATTTATAACATCATCTAGCTGTACAGTACACTATTCACTCATCCGTATTATTTTATAACACTATCAAGAATCCTCTGAAAACCAAGTAGTCTACATACTAATCATTAGAATAGATTTTTATATCTTTCCTTCATCACTTAAAGCTTCCATAGAACATGCTTTTTTGCCATCTCTATCAACTTTTGAAAAAGATATGAAGCAGCCAATAAGGTCCATGTCACTTGTATGTTTTGGTGACATTACCTGCTGTGAGCATGGCCACATTATAAGCACACACATTAGGAACATCTCAACACTCCACCAGTCCAGCTGCCCGGCACAGCCTTTAAACAATTAAACCATACAATAGGCTTCATCATATTTATTCACCCCTAGTAGTAGGAAAAAAGTAAAGAATAACAAAAAGTGACCAAAAAGTAGGTTCAAGAAACATGTTTCACTTGTTATTTCTAACAATTATTCTGAACTACCAGTATTTCATACTGAAAGCATTCTCAAATCTATCATATAACTGCAGTTCAGTGTTCTCTCGTCTTTGTCAAACTCACATACAATGACAGCTTATATTATAATACTACAGTTTATTTCTCAAATACAGCTACTCAAATAACACTGAATTTTTTCTCACAATTAGCATCAGAATCAAATATAAAGAATATATTATGAAATATAAATCAATCTTGCATGGTAGTTTCTTTAAATATCAAAGTATACTGCAA